TTTTCCATCTCTTCTTGATGCTTAGACATTTTTGTATTAAAATTATCACTTTCTTTGACTTTTAACCAATATTTTTCAGTCTTCATCAACTTATTATACAACTCGTTGTATTCAACTCTTTTATTTAAAAAATTAATTTTTATTAAAATATTAAAACTAATAATATTTATTTATATATTAAAATTATTAATAAAATTTTAAAAAAAATTAAATATTTTATAAAAATATAAAATTCTACTTACTCTTTAGTTGCAATCTAAATTATAAATGAAATAAAATATAAATAATTAAATTAATAGTATGTAAATCTATTTTTAAATTAGGATTGGCTCTTCTTCATTTCAAGAAACGGAAGTCGGAATATTGGTAGGTTTATTATTTATTTTAGAGATGCCTTGTTTCCCCTCTCATTGGCTAAAGCTCCCTAACTTCAAATATTGAACCCATGTCCAAACTTATGCAAAGAACTTATACAAAAAAATGGCTGACCATTTTTTACATCAACTAAATATTTGGACGGGGGGGGGGGATTAAATAAGTATCCAGAATTAAATAAAAAATTTCACAATTCTAAACGGAACGTCCCACTTGTGTACCGGCCGTTTGTGTACCTGGCCATATTTTGGGCCATAACTTTTTTGATTCTTAACCGACTTCAATTATTATTATATCAATCGAAAGCCCTGGATGTGAGGATTATTTTCGCCAACAGGATTGATTTGATCAGATCATGTTATAAAAAGTTATATCTCGATAAATGCGCTCAATCGTGATTTTGATCTTTATCTGTCTGTAACTTTTTGTATGATTATCTGATCAAATCGATCCTGTTGGCGAAAATAATCCTCACATCCAGGGCTTTCAATTGATATATTATTTATTTAAATCAATTAAGAATTGAAAAAGTTATGGCCCAAAATATGGCCAGGTACACAAACGGCCGGTACACAATGATCCCCTACCCAATTCTAAATGATTTATACAACATTAACCTCTTTAAATGTTTCATCTTCAGTCTGGCCATAATGTATTATATCAGTTTTTATTTCATCAAGCTTTTCTTCCTCAATCAAAACGTTCTCATTCTCCAAATGTCCTGTAATTTTAAACAGTATTACATTTTTCACTTCTTCTGTTCCGATCCGCAAATCATTTATAATTTTAATAAATTCATTAAATTCATTTATTATTTTCTCTGATTTATCTTTATCAACAAAATATTTATTCATTTCATCTTTAATTCCGTTAGTTAATTCAATTTTATTGTTTAATTCTTTAATATAATCTGCTTCTGTATATTCTTCTAATTTCTTCATCATTTTATCATGATCAATTTTTTTATCTGATAAAAAATAAATAACAAGTCACAATTAGCTAACTTTTACTTAAACCTAATGTTTAAGTTTATACGCATTTTTTTAATCAGATAGGCTATAATGGGTGGGAAACAGACATGGGCGAAACGTTTCGTTTCGTTGTTTCGTATGTTTCGTGGGTTTTTTTGAGTATCGTTTCGTTTCGTCACGAAACACTTTTTAATTTGTTTCGTTTCGTTTCGTTACGAAACACCTGTGATTTTGCAACGAAACGAAACAATTTTTTAGGCCTAAACTAAAGCCAAAATTTTAAAAATTTACCATCTTTTGTTGAAAATTTTAAAAATTTTCGCCTGCGGCGCTGAAAAAGGAAGAATTTCGGCTTCTTGGCATTCCAAAATTCTCAAAATTTTTGCCTACGGCGCTAAAAATTGAAGACTGATATTCCTTAAATCCTCCTTAACAATTCAGAACCTCTTTTATTGTCCGATATCAATCACTTATATACTACAAATCCGTTTATACTCCACTCCCTAATCCACATATTATTACTTATCGACGACAATTCTATTGCCGGAAAGAGTTTATTACCAGAAAACTCCGAAATGTTATTGACACTTCACCATTATTTGCTCATATACATACAATTTTAACTATAGTTTGAAGTGATTTAATTCCTTTATCTCCATTTTTAAAAATTGCAGATTGCGAGTTGCGAAAATACCGGAACTGGAACTTTCGGCGAAGCACTATCTTATATACCATTTTTCACGAAATGGAGATATTGAGACAATTTGGGTAGGGAATGGAGCAAAAATAGTGGCTACGGGCCTGGCTTATGGGACCACAATTGTTGTAAATAAACCAAGAACTTGATCATTTATACTAAGTCATATTCGGCTAATAAAATGTTTGAGCTCAAATAATTGCGAAATAAATGCGGTTTTGAAAATTTTTTAAAACTTAAAATGTTTCGTTTTGTTTCGTTTCGTTTCGTAAGATCTTGGCTGTTTCGTTTCGTTTACGAAACGATTTTTAAAAAATTTTGTTTCGTTTCGTTTCGTTCGAAAAAAAAATCGAGTTTCGCCCATGTCTGGTGGAAAAGGAACGTGCCTTAAATTTATAAAGTTAAGAAAAGTTTGGTATTCCATTTTTTAAAGACAACATTTTATTAAAATGATTTGTCGGCATAACTTTTAATTTTTGGGGTTTTAAAGCCTTACAACTGTTTACCGTATTTCCTCGATTACATACCCTCCAAGTAAGGGTAAGTAAATGAGTTTAAGTAATAAACCTCCTCTTGTAAAGTCCGAAACAGTGTGTAACATAATTATAACCCCACCTAAGATTTTTTAATTTCTTAAGGTTCTAAAATTTCTGTGAGAATTTCCATTGATATTGAATAGAAAAGTAAGAAGAACAAAGTCTATAAATGACATTTTCATTGAGACTCTGTACCGGGAAATGGGGGTACCGCAAGAATACGCATATAAATATCTATCTTACAACAATTTACAAGATTGAAGGATTAAACTAAAATTATAAAAATTCACTATATGTACAAATAAAGTTTTCAAAATTTTTAAAATTAATAATTATGAATCTCATTGTGTTTTGTTAAAATTTTGTTCGTGAAAATTATTCTTATCTAATTATTTAATTTTACAAATTTCGTGTAATTTAAGATTTATACCTTCTCTATACGGAACCAATTCACTCAAATTTCTCTGAAAAACTTTATTTGTGGTTTCCTTCTCCTTCTTTTTTCCTCCAAGTAAATTTTTAAATCCTTTTGTAAGCGTTTCTACTCCTTTATTCAGAGTATTCCGAATAATTGTGTCGCCAGAATCGGTTGTTCCAAGAGACATTTGTTTGGGTTCATCACGCTTTAATTTTCTTGAACGACCAAATCTACTCTTTTTTTGTTTTTCCATTCCACAGACCGTGGTCAACAAAAAAATTAGAAACAAAATTGATGGAAAACGCAAACGCATTTTCCTATTTTTTAGAATAAAGAGCTGTGGATTTTAGTCAGTAAAACACTAAAATTAAATAAGATAACAAAATCAGTGAATATAGACAATGTAAGAATATATTTTATTAGTGAATCGAAATTCGAGTATACAAACATTATTAGTTTATAAAGTCAAAACTTAATTTTGTCTTTATAAAAAATAATACGAAAATAATAATTACTGATGCGAACTTTTTTATAAAATTTTTAGAATTTTTGGCTCAGGTCTAATTTATAAGTCCAATGGAGGTTTGTGATCTTTAATGTTAATTTTCGAACTTTAGGGGTATCAGATTCGGCGGATTAGGAAAAATTAATACTCAGCGGATTCCATGCGATCAGAGGTGGGTCAGAAATGACGAAGGTGACGTAAATCGGAAATCGGAAATCAACCTAATTTTCTGAAGTCGGAGATCGGAAATGCCAAACGACAAAATGCCACAGAAAAATAGCATTACTCGCGCCAAAAGGACCCCCACCCAGTGAAAAATGCATATTTTTCTCTTTGGACGAAGTCTTGGTCGGACTTTTGGCTGGATGCAGTTTATGTAAGACGGAATATTGTCGGCCGTTTTGTCTGGTCAAGTATTACCTGCCACTGAATGCCTTATTATTTGAGAGTTTAGAATAATTTAAAATAAAAATATATAAACTGTCTTCATCAGATACCTGGTATTACCAATTAAAATCTTGTTTCCCACTTTTATGTTCCGTTAGCCCTTGAGAAAGGCAATATAATAATTAAAATTCTTATTCTTTATTTTTTTCCATTTTTTAATTGCTTTATAAAATTTTGTCTGACTTATAAATTTTCATTGGACTCATAAACAAGACTGAAGCCAAATTTTTATTTAAAAAACTTTTAAACTTAATTTAAAATCTAAACATATTAAATTCGATAATTTTTACTAAAAACAAAAAAAATATTGATACAAAACAATTAAATACCTAAATTTAATTTTTGTTTTTAACTTTAAATTTATTTGTTTAGGAAAATTATTATAAAACCTATTTTTTGTATCGCTGCAAATGAAATATGAATTGGGGGGGGGGAGAGGGAAGAAGGGATGGAGGGGGGAGGGATGGAGGGGGGAGGGATGGAGGGGGGAGGGATGGAGGGATGGAGGGGGGAGGGATGGAGGGATGGAGGGGGGAGGAAATAAGAGAGGGGGAGGGGAGGGAAGAAGAGAGGGGAATAATTTTTAATTAATTTTAATTTTTTAATTGACAAATAATATTGACTAGATTTTACATAGATACAAAAAAATAAATACAAACTACAATTTATTTTTTTAATTTTCTTGTACCGCAATCAATAATCTATTTTAAAAATAATTTTTAAAATTTAAAAGGGCAAATTTTTAAAATTAAATGTAGACGTTTATATATTTCTTAATAAGTATTTAAAAAAAAATTTTTTTAATAATAAAGCTGGAGCCCGAACGGTATCAGACTACCGACGGTATTCTTCGGGGTATTTATTGGTAATCTGTACAGTATCGGTAATACGGGACGGAAATCGCCCATAATGACCATAATAAGGTACGTCAAAATTTTGAAATTTATCGGTATTTTTCAGTGTACAGTATAAAATTAAATTCTGGTTCTTCATAAAACTATACAAAATTTTATAAAATTTATTAAAAATTCCATCCAATTAACAAACAAAATTATCTAAGTCCAGAAAGTACATACGCCTTTAAAAAAATAAATATTATTAAAATAATAAAATTATTAGAAACATTGCAAAGGTCAGTGTCGCAACAATTAAGAGAATAACGAACTCTTCCAGAGACTTTAACACCGGAGGCAAGAGTTCTTGTAGCCTGCATTGAATGTGTTTCCCCGTCTGTTGTCTTCAAAAATATTTTAATTAACAAAATAAAATTATTTTTAATTTTTTTTATTTTTTAAAATCAAACTTCACAGGTGTAAGTATCACTCTCAAATCCCTGGCGAAGTCTCGCTTTTTTAATATTATCTCTCCATAAACTTTCACAGGAATGTAAAAGAAAATTTTCTGTAGCATTTAATGTAGTTATTTCTGTATATGTAACACAATAATTGTCCTAAATAAATTTTTTTATTTGTATATACATATTTAGGGAACTTAAATAATGTTAATTTAACGTTAGCTTAATATGTTTAAATAAATCTCAGTCATATTTTTTTATTTTCGAGGATCTTATATAAATTTTAGTGTTGTTAATCGGATGATTAAGAAACCAGAAATCCTTCTTTTAGCTAACTTTTTAAATAAAGTCTAAAAGGTGAATTGGAGATGATATCGGAGGATTAAGATCAGTGAAGGAATTAAGGGTAATATAGAGGATTTGGATGGATTAAGGGAATACAAGTGGATTTAAAGATTAAAAGGGTTTTAAAATGATAAGGGGATATCTTTCATAAATCATCCGAATCCCTCCATATCTAGTGATCTCCCTCAATTCAAAAATAAAATTAGATCAAAACCAAATATTTCCAACGTCAAATATTTGTTTGATCCAATCTCTAATTAAAACAAAGGAAATACTGATCAACTAACCCCTAATATTATCCCGACACTAAATTTATTTAAATTAATTTCTTACATTTTTATCGCATTCTGTATCAATCATTTGAGAAAGAATTTTTTTATTAGACAATTCAGTAACATCATTAGCTACTTCATTGCTAATCAAAGCCATTTTACATTTAAGAGAATTATTTAAAGAAAATAAAGAAATAATTAATAATAATATTAAATAGTAATAAAACATTCTCTCCTTTTTTAATATAAATAAAAAATTTTAATAATTTTAATTTTTGAGTTAATTATTTTATTAAATATAATATTTAAATCTAATTTTTGATTAATTTTGTTATTTTCTATACTAGGGTAGCAACCGACCATTCGGGGGCGAGTGTGTAGGGGATCGGGTGTTTCCCGGTGAAGGCATATCGGGGTTTGGGGTTCTTGCCAAAAAAATCCATCGGGGTCGGAGTTTATACAATTAATTATATAATACATTAATAATTAAGAAGAAAATATTTAACAATGTTATTATAATAATTATTTATTACTACAGTCAAACCTCGATCTAATCTACTCCTCCATTTAACAAAGTTCTCAAATTAGCAAGCCTATTGACTGGTCCTTAATCAAGATTTTTTTCTAAAATTATTCTTAATATAGAAAATATTCTCGGTCCTTTATATCAAAATTAGACTGTAATTAGTTATTAATAGAGTTGGGAAAAAACAGGCCCTAAAAATCCTAACCCTAGTTATTAATTATTAAATTATTTTTGTATATTATTTTGAAAAAATTTTTTTTAGTTTAGAAAATAAAAAAATAAATATAAATATTATTTTTAAATCTTAAACATTTAAATTGTTTTAAAATGAAAATTTAGAAACTAGTTTTAGTTCAAATAAGTTTAAAAAGAACCAATTAATTTTCTTTAAAATAATTTTTTAATTTTGTTATTACTTTTATTTATTTATTGTTTTATCTTTTTAATTGATAAATTATTTATTTACAAAATTTTTATTTAATTTTTAAATTAAAAATACAATTAATTTATTTATAAAAATATTTTTAAAATGATGTTTTTAATAAAATTGTTTCGTTAAATAATAATTATATAAATTTTAAAATTGAAATTTTTTAAATGCAAAGACAACACTAAATATGAAAAAAATAAAAAATATTAAAAAATAATTAAATAAAAAATTAAATAAAAAATTTTTTATATGTAATTCCTCTTCATTTACTATTTACCAATTACTTCAGAAATCTTTTGAAGAAAAATATTTTTCTTCGGCCCATTTTCTTTTAAATCAAGAAGAATTTTTGTTCGAAGTTCGTTAGCAGTCTTTTGATAAATGTTGCTAAAAAGGATAATATTTTATAGGATTAATTCTTTCAAGTTTTTAGTTGATAATAGAGAATATTCTTTTTTTTTTAATTTTTTGGAGTCAACGTCTTACGAGTGTTTGTCACTCTAATTTTCTATACACTTACCCATCAATCATCATTTTATTTAAAGCATTTTGAAAGTCAACACCAAAAGCTTCACTGTCAACTCCATTTTCATTATATAAAACATTTACATAAATTCCAATCCCCAAATGTTCAACTAGGGAAGAAAGGTAAAACTGATCGCCGTTGGTTGGGATACAAATTAAAGGAACACCGGCATATATTGCCTAGAAATTAATTAATATTTAAGTTTTTAATACGGATGTGCGATTCTGGATGAAAATATCAACAAAAAGATAAATTAAATTTTAGAACTACTACATATGGTCTCTTTTTAGACAAACAAAAAATACCTCAGTCTAGTGTTGATCAAATGCGATTTTTCGGTATCGGTATCGGTATTTTCGGTAAAATACCGATACCGCAAATACCGCGGTATTTTTGATTGAGGCGGTATCGGTATTTTCGGTAAAATACCGATACCGAAAAATACCGACGAAAAATCGTCGGTATTACCGCGGTATTCCGGTATTTTTTTTTTAATTTACCAAATGAGCAAATTTAATACAATAAATGTGAAATAAGTTTATAAATAGTGAATAAATAATGAATTTACTATTTATAATGAATCAATGGAAGTGTTTGGTTCAGAAAAATTAACATTTCTGCATTTACTGGACACAAAAGTGATAGCCTGTATTCAAAGACGTCTCTTGCTACGGAAAAAATCCTTTCACTTTCTACTGACGTTGCTTGCGCAGAATTTAAGTCAGATTTCTTCATTTTTTGCGCCGCAGGTGAAAATTTTGAAAAATTTTGAAGGCCATGAAGCCAGATTTCTTCCATTTTTCACCGCCGGAAGCCAAAATTTTAGAATTGGAAGCCAACTTTCTTATTTTTCAGCGCCGCAGGCGAAAATTTTGAAAATTTCGGAAGGCCGTAGGCGAAAAAACTCACCTTTTAGTCTACCTGGAAAATACCGAAATACCGAAAAATACCGCGGTATTTTGATTGAGGCGGTATCGGTATCGGTATTTCAGTAAAAAATACCGCGGTATTACCGAAAAATACCGCGGTAATACCGTACCGTGACCAACTCTACCTCAGTCAAACTATTTTGCCCACAATGAGAAATAAATAATTTTGTATTTTCTTTAGCTGTAAAATTAAAATAAAATTAATTATTTATAAACATTAATATTTATTTTGCCTAAAATCTCTTTTTGTGGAAGAATTTCATCTGTCACTTTAATTATGTTTTTATTATAATTTTCTGTTACAAATTTATTTAAACGAGCTTTAAACAAACAATGACTATGTTTTTCAAATTCTTCAAACATTTTTGCCATACTTTTGCGATCCAACCTTCCTGTTAAATTAACCGTTCCAAAAGTGACCAAAACAACGCAGTTAGGCTTTAAATTTACATAGATTATATGTAAATCAACAAAGTTATGTTTGCGGGATCCCGCTGAATTTTTTTCTAAATATTTGAAAGGGTATAGTGTGGCCCTCGGAGCAAAGGTTCATTAAAAAAACTAAGGTTAAATTAAGAGATAAAATCGTAATAAATATTTCAACCCCTCAGGTCCCATCCTTGCAAATAATTTTATTTTAAAATTACAACTTTTTTTCCTTGATTAATTTACCTCTTTAAAGAATGCCGAAAAAAAATTTCGCATAATCCCGCGCGAGATAACCTTTCTTTTAATCAAAATTTCATTTTCGTCAACAAGAAGCCCTCCAATATAAATAATTTTTTCAGAGACAGGAAATTCTTTGAAATTTGCTTGAAAAGGTTGATTAACGAAATGAAGTTTAATTTTTTCGAATAAAAATTGTATAGGCGAAGGTACTTGTAAATCATTAACATTCCTCGCATTAGAAAAAACGTTGAAGATAGCTAGAGACTGTTGTGAATGAAAACAATCTAAACCTCTATTATTATCCTCATGTTTTATCCTGTTTTCAATATATCGTTTACTTTCTTTATTTAATAAACCTTCATTGTTTAACCAGTCTCCAGGCATTGTAGTTGAGTATTCTTTATTGAAAGAAATATTTTTAGATTTATTTTTAAACAAGAGTACATATGTATGAAGGAAGAAGTCAGCCGGCTAGCATTTAAAGCTTACTAGGCGGAGGTTTAAGATCTATCAAAGGAGAAAATTGAAAGAAACGCCCAGTAGCTTAGTCTGTAGAACACCGAGGACCTATTCCATGAAGTAACATTGACTTCAAATGTCGATTCAGAAATGCCAACTAACACAAACAAGCGGCAACGTTTGTTAGCGATAATAAGGAGGGACAATAAAGAATTTAGTAATTTAGTGTTAGGAGAATCAACAGAGAGCTTTTAAGCAACAAAGTGCACTCTGAGTGCTTTTAATGCACTCTGAGTGCTTTTAAGCAACAAAGTGCACTCTGAGTGAGACTCATTTTATCGACACTCACTTTCTCTTTTTCTTTCTGCCTTTCTTTATCGTCACTTCCTTATTAGTTCTAACTAATTGTCAATATCGCTTCATTGAACCTAGTACGTGGTGAGCTCGATCAGTCAGAATCTTCATCCCATTTGTCACTAGTAAAATACCTGGAATACTGTATGAAGTAACATCAATTCCAAGATATTGAAGATATCCAGGAATGAATACAGAAGCAGAAACTGCAAAAGTATTTTCAATTCGTAAAGCTTCAAAAACAACAAAAGGGCTAACAAAGAATCTAAATTCACCAATTCCAAAAGAATATTCTTGTTTACTTAACCAGTCATAAACTTCAACCATTTCCTTTCCAATTTTGACTTGTTTGTTTGCAATTATTTCTTTAAAAATTGAAAATCTTTTTGGAGCGGCCGAAATCGCGTAACCCGTAAGTCAAATACTTTGAGGGTACGCTGGCCAAACCCCTTATGGCCAGCGTCCTAACAACTTCGGCGCCCTTGTGGGGCGCAACCTGCGTCAGCGCTAAAATTATATTCCCAATTGAAAGGGATTTTTAATTTCAGTATCTTTAATAGTTATTACCTTCATAAATTCCTGTAATAGATTTTGGATCAAATCTAAATTTATCAAAAGCTTCTTCAATTCCTTCATTTTCCACAACATTTTTATCCAATTTATTTTCACTTATCGGAACATTAATAATTAAATTAACATTCTTCGGGTTTACAGGATGTCCACCTACACTTCGCGTGTAAACTACTACATCCTGCAAATGAAATAATGATTTATAAAGCTAGAAATACTTAATAAAATACTTAATAATATTTTTAAATAAATTATTATTTCCTTAAAATTATTATCATTCCTTCTTGAAATGAATATATTTTTGGGATAAATAAGTTTTCTCCCAATTTAATTAGCCACAATTTCGGTTCCAAAATTGGGTGAAATATACAACCGTATAAGTTTAGGTGTGGAGTGTCGAGTAAACTTGATTTGTGCGCAGTGAAAAAACTAAAAAAGGTGAAGAACCCTTTTGATGGTTATTTTGAGAGATAATGTTTGTTTGATTTATTTAGACCGATTTTTAAAATAAAAATCAAAGTAAGAAAACCATTTCATATTCTTCAGATAAAATGTTGGCCAATATTTCCTGAAATTTTAATTAATAATTTTAAAGACTTTAAAAATTTTCTGTTCAACAGAAAATTTTAGGAGTTTTGTCTCATTTACACATTACACCTATATTTAAAGTATAAATTTACATAATATAGGGTCTGTAATAAATCTTTATCGGAACCTACATCCACTATTTAATTAATTAAATTATTAATTACATTAAACTTTATGTGTGAGTAGAAAAAGTTGTCACAAATATACAACCCCCTTTTCTTTTCCGTCAAATTTAATTTTTCAACATTTTTATTCAAATGTTTTAGACTACTAGAACTTGCTTCTTCTTCACAATCATTTTTTGTATTTAAACCTCTTTTGTGTCTACGAAGGGAAATTTTAGAAATTTTATTTTCCTTCCCATTTTTCGAATATTTACAATTTTTGTTAGGTTGTGAAATATTTACAAAAATTAAAATGAAAATAATTAAGAGAATTAATTTAAACATTTTCTCTTAAATGTTAAAAATTTTTTTTGGAATTTGTAAACAGTGATGTTTTGAAACAAAAAAATCTTCAAAACTCCAAAAAAATTTAAAAAATTGTTAAATAATTTACATGTTTGGTGGGTATCTTAGGTCCCTTAGGAATTAAAAAAAGAACTGGAAGAAAATATTTCAATGGGATTAAAGATAATTTGCGTCATATGAAGTGCTGACGGATCCAACAAATCAGTAAAAAGTCTGTCTAGTTTTTCATTTCAAATCCTAATAATGGCAAAAATTCTCCTAATCATGAAAAAAAATCCTCCTTATGTTTGAGATCTTAGAGACCAAGAAGCTAAATTCTTCTTTTTTGTAGCGCCAAAATTTAAGATTCATAAAAAAATTTACCAAACAATTAATTTAAAAAATTGGATTAAATTATTTAATTAAAATATGAATGAGTGTGGAAAGTTCATAATAGACATGACTTTAAATAGACAAAATCTGTTTATTTTTGACATTATTTTATATTTCACAATTTGTTGTTTTTATAAAGGTATATAAAGGTATAATAAATTTTTATGGCAGTTTTGCTTTATATTATTACCGCCTTATTAGTAAAATGATGAAAAAAAGTTCGAAATTATTCGATCTCTGATTAAAATATGTACACATTCGTCCCTTATAGACTTTGGGTAAATGCGAGTCGGAAAAGCTTGGTAATTTAACCCAAGTTGCGCAAATATTACACAAACTACTATTTATTTTTCATAAATCTATCACACGCTTACTTTTTAAAAAATATTTTGGTACTATGCGTTTATATCCCCCCATGTCCGCAAATGTTTGTCCGCACTTTTCTTTCTTTTCCTTTCCCCTCTCATAAGGATTATAAATGGTCAAGTATTAATAAACTTTTCTTTTTTTCTCCTCTCATAAAGATTAAAATGGTCAAGTAAGAATAAAACTAAAGAATTTTTCACATGAATATTAAAAAACGTCAAATACGATAACGCATCATTCATATAAAATGGCAATAAAAATGAGAAGTACGACATTTAATATTATCGTTTTTGAATTTATTTTCAGATCATGAATTTTAAGAAGCTTCCTAAATCAGAAGAAGCAGCCATACTATTTTTACAATCAAAGAACATTCTACCGACAAATAAAATTTGTGTAAATGGTCACGAAATGAAGCTAAGCATTGGAAATCAAAATAGATGGCGATGTCGTAAATCTACGTGTCGTTCTGAAGTCCAGCTGCGAGTCGGAACATGGTTAGAAGGGAGTCGTATCCCAATAGTCACCATTCTTTAAAATTGCTTTGTTTTTGCTTTTATATTTTTTATAAACGAATATTTGTCTGTACTAAGTTTTTACTTGACCATTTTAATCTTTATGAGAGGAGAAAAAAAGAAAAGTTTATTAATACTTGACCATTTATAATCCTTATGAGAGGGGAAAGGAAAAGAAAGAAAAGTGCGGACAAACATTTGCGGACATGGGGGGATATAAACGCATAGTACCAATATTTTTAAAATTCTAAAAAGGCAAACTTTTAAAATTATTAAAAATATTATTATATTTTGTTTATTTCTCAATATTTAAAAAAAAATTTTAATTCAATTGTCAAAGGAATTTTTAAAATTATTGAATTCAAAAGAGGTCCACGTTGGTGAAAAAGGATCTTCGGATATCCTTCTTATCCTCCAAATCCATTTAAAGACATGTTAATCCCACAAATACCCTCTTAATCATGGATAATCCCTCACCTCTAAGAACATTTTAACACCTAGAAAAAAAAATCCCGGATCCGGTCCGGAATCCGGGTAATTTTTACCGGAATCCTGAAATTATCTTTACCGGACTAAAACCAGACAAGTTTCAGACAGTTTTTCCAGTATTCACTACCTCGAATTTATTCTAAATTTTATTAAGCTAGGATATGTATTTTAATACTCTAATGTCCGAGCACGACAATTTTCTGAACACAATATAAACGATAATATTTAATTCACTTTCGCCGAGCGTCGTGGCGGGCGCTTGTAGTCCAGTTTCTAGGAGGCAAAAGCACCAATTGACGGGTGTGCACAGAGCGAGTGTCTAGAGCAAGGGCCAAGTCAACAAGGGGCGCAAACGGGAACGTTTGTGTTCCTGGTTGTTTAAAGAGCGGGGCAACGGTTCAGGCCCGAAAGGGAGCAGACAAAACCCGCCGCTTGGTCACAGTGTTCAGACAGCACTTGCGAGCATGCCATTCAAACGTCGGTTGGATTTTGCTTTTTGAAAAAAATTTTTTTTATTAATACGGACTCACTTGAAACGTTTCAAACATTTGACTTTTTCTTTGTACTCTCATTTTTTAGTTGTCTCTCTTACATTGTTCGTATGGGTACAGCCCAAGTAGGCGCGCGACCATAACGGCGCAATGCCATAACTTGCTTCAAAATTTCCAGATCTTATCAAATTTAGTATTAAACGATTCCTCTCATCGAGCTAAAGAAATCGGTACCAAAATTAATAAAGGCCAGAAATTTTCCAGCAAATTATGTTTCTGCGCCGTTATGGGCGCGCGCCGGCGTGTTCCTGTTTTTATTTTTGTTTTTTAATAAAGAAAGCTGGAATGTTTGTCGTTTATTTCTCCTTATTTGTTTCGTATTTTTTTTTTATTTTTCTAATAAAATTTTAAAAATTAAAAAAATTTTTTTCAGATAAATTTAAGCAATTATGAGTTCAGCAACAAGTCCATTATCACCCCCTCCTAGGGCAACAAGTGCACCAATTTCTACACTTAATTTGAATTGTATTTTTAATTTTAAATGAAAATTTTTCGAAATTTTTTTCCTTTTTTAGCCTTTTCTGATTCGACTGCTGAAAGTTTGTCAATTAATTTTGCAAGAAATAAAAAGGCACAAATGGCTGCTAGAGCTTTGTTTGAATTAGTGCATAATTATGGGGATAATTTGAGAGAGGTTTTTTTGTTGTTAAATTTTGGTGATGTTTAACTGCCTTAATTTTCTGAAAATTGAATTAGCTTTGAATACCCTGGCTCGCCTGTTTTTTCTAAAGTTTGGATAAATTTTTTGTCGGGCTAACTGACGGAACGGACAAATCGCGGAATTACCAAATCACGGAACGACCAACACAACCGAATCACGGAATATTTTAAAAACGGAATTTTTTCAAAAATCTGAATATTTTTTTAAAATTCTGAAAATCTATGATTTCTAAAAACATTCTGATTTTTAAAATATTCATTGTTTTGGTCATTTCGTGAGTTGGTCGTTCCGTTATTTGTAATTCCGTGAATTGTCGTTTCGCGTCTGTTCCGTGAATTGGAATTCCTCGTGCTAGCCTCCAAACACATTTTTCATTGATTTACTTTCAAAATACGAATTAAGTTTAAAGGGAATAGAAGGAAAAAATTGGAGCCATAAAGTACTTTTATAAATACAATTTTTTTCTGCAAGTTTTATCCGCAAAAAATTGCGGATTTTTCGTAAAATAAAGAAAACTTGAAAAATAATTTAAAAAATCGGAAAAATTTTTTTAAAGGGTTGGAAAAACGTGTTGGATTGTTTAATATATTTATTACGTGCCAATTTACTTCCACCAAAATTGTTGGAATTGGAAGATTTTGTGGATGTTAGAGGAATTGTGACAATTAAAGAAAAGTTTAAACGTCCACAGATTTTACCAAAAAAAGAGGAAAGTGGACTGTTTAGTTGGTTAGGTTTAAGTGTTTCTTCAATTTCTAGTGAAACTGATTTAAATAAAAAACAAATAAATGAAGAAGAACAACAATTATGCAACGTTTGTCGGGGAGGGGGGGTGCAAAAAATGTCCGCAATTTTTTGCGGACATTTTTTGCGGATTCTTCTTTAACTTTTTTTGAGATAAAATTTAGTAAAGCAGCTGGGTTATAGCTATTTCTCTCCTTTAGCTAGTGCAAAAGGTTAATTGGCGGCTGGGAGCATCTTCAGTAGACCGGACTGAGTTGTTCTCCATTTCACCACGCCGCCTACTTCATAGCGTTAGGAATTGAATGGCTATATGCTTTACAATTTTCTAATTTTTAGTAACTCTTAAGTAAATTAATTTTCATTTAAAAATAAATGGGTAGGCGGTGAATACTAGTGATGCTCGGGTATCCCGACTCCCGAGGTCATTTCCCGACCCGACTCCCGTTTCCCGGGTTTTTTCTTCTCCCGAGCATCACTAGTGAATACTAACATAAAAGGCTAAATTTAAAAGTCCGCAAAATTAGAAAATTTTCCTTATTTTTTACCAGATTTAAATTTTATCAGAATTTATGAATTTCCAAATTTTTATCGTTTTAAAATTTTTCGGTACTTAGGTATCTGTTATCTCTCCCCATTTTCTTCCCCTTTCTGCCCTTTTTTCCTTCTGTTGCAGAATTGTCTGGGGCAAATTTAACAAAAATTTTTTAAAAATATTTTCAGTCAGCAATATCATTAATTTCTGAATGCCATCCAGAACAATTAATAACCGACAGTCGTTATTTAACCACTTCAGCATTTACTGAATTAATAAATAATATTATCCATTGTTCTTTTGCTATAGCCCCAATTCAATCAAAAACACAACAAATTGATTTAAATAATGAACAAATTGTTCAAAATTATGAAAGTCAGGGAAGTCAAAGTCAAGGTGTTTTTTTTTTAATTTTTTGTGATTTTTGGGGGTTTGAGTGAGTGATTTATTTAATGATTTTTCTGCCTCAACGGCTATACTAATTTCAAATTTGGATATTTAAATTATTTTTTTTTTCTTTAAATTTTGCATATCAATTGGTAGTTTTTTATTTTTACCCAAATTTTCCTGAAAATTTTTTAGAGATTATTCGGTACTTTTTAGAGTTTCACCGGAAGTTCCGGTTCCGGAAAGTTCCGGTGTTTTTTTGGTTCCGGTTCCGGGACTCAAATTGGTTCCGGCTCCGGTTTACAAATCGGTTCCGGGCAAACCGGAACTTTTTTACACCCCTAAGGATTAGTTTTTTAAAAAAATATGGGTTGGCCTTGCAATATTTTCCCCGGCTGGCCTTTCAAAATTCTTAAAATTTTTTGCCTGCGGCGCCAGAAAAGGAAGAAATCTAGCGCCTTGTCCACACAAATTCTCAAAATTTTCGCCTGCGGCGCTGAAAAGGAAGAAATATGTATCCTTGGTTCACCTAAAATCCCAAATTTTTTGTAAGTTGGCTGGTATATCGGAGGATTTGGATGGATGAAGATGGACTTTGAGTTACATTATGTGAGTTCAAGAAGTCATAGGTAATATAGAGGGATTTGGGTGTGATATCAAGGGATTGAGCTGTGCAAGGAGATACCAGGAATTGGATAGCTATGGATTTGGCCTTCCAAAGCTTGGAATTTCTCACATGGTCTTCCTAAATTCGCAAATTTTCGCCTGCGGCGCTAAAAAAGAAGGATAAATATGATATTATTTAAAATTCGCATGAATTAATGGAGATTTGGAGTGATATTTGGAGATTTCGATGTATCAATAGTTATAATGGCACATCGGTGATTTGATGTCTAGGGATCTGGTGGGATTAAGGATAATTCGAAGAAATTCGGGGATCAAAGGATATCATGAAGTTGGTGAGATATTTGGCATAGCAGGGGATTTGGATTGTTCGGTTCGGTTTTTATGTTCGTTTTCGGTTAATCGAAAGTTTCGGTTAGTTATTCGGCTCGGTTTCGATTAACCGAAGAATTTGACTGAATTTAATCGAAAAATTTGGCGAAACCGACACCACTACTTGAAAAACAAATTTTTTAAAATTTGCTAGCAAAAATTTTTTAAAAGTTCCGGTTCTGGGCCGGAACTTAGAAAAGTTCCGGTTCCGGTGAAACACTAGTACTTTTACGTTATACTACCACAAACTGAAAGTCAGCCGTCATCGATCGGCTATAACTTTTTAATTCTTAATCCTATACAAATGAATTTTATATCATTCAAAAACCCTCGATAATTACTATCTTTTTTCCAACTCATGGATCAGGTCTGATCACCCATTAAAAGGTTATAACCAATCAAAGTTTTATATTAAAGAGGAATATGTTTGCGGGGTACACCCCGATGTACTGCGAGCCCAATGTACCGCCAAACTATAACTTTGTCCGAAATTGTCGAATCCGTTGCGCCTCGCATGGTTTGATTCAGCTAGTTGAGACGCATCGAACCATACCAGGGCGCCACGGATTCGACAATTTTGGACTTGGCGGTACATTGGGCTCGCGGTACACTGGCCTGCTTCCAAGTTTGCGGTCGTATAACGGAGAAGTACCGATTATTCCTATATTTTTTAAAATTAAAAAAGTGGATTAATTAATGTATTTTTATATTTTCCTTTACCACAATGTTGGTAGATAACGGAAAAACAGGATTTTTTATTTCGTGTCTGGGTACCCGAAGATTTTCCACTTTAATAAGAAACCACTAAAATTTAATTTTTAGACGATGATTCTATTGTCGACTTAAGTTCAGCTGCCGCAGCTTTGTTACCCGAAGAACAACAAATTTTAGAAAAACAAATGTCAGAAAATAACAAAATATCTCCATTAAATTCCCCTTCAAAATCCCCTCCTCCCCCACCTCTTCCCCCTCAATTACTTTCCCAATCTTCACTTTCTGAAGATAAAAAATCTGGGGAAGAACAACCACCAATTATTCAACAACAAAATTTACTTTATCAATATTCTCTAATAAAATTAACTTTGGATGAGGAAGAAGCTTTGATTTTTTTGTTGGAATTGATGGTGAGGAAAGAAATTAATTTTTGTTTGTGGTATGGAGGCTAACATTCCACACAGACAAATATTTATGAGATAGGCATTTTAGATGAATTATCCTCTATCTGGGAACCAGAGGTGAATCGGAAATGACGAAGATGCCGGAAATCGGAACTGTCGGAAATCGGAAATGACTCAAAAGTCGGAACTCATGTCGGAAATCGGCCTAAATTTTCGGAAGTCGGAAATCAGAATTCCGATTCACCTCTGCTGGGAACCCAACAAATTTGTTAAATTTCACTCTATTCTTATTAAAATTCTTATTTGTTGGGACGATAATTAGCTAATAAGCTTAAGTAAAACCTCGGCTTTCTTGCCATATGTTCTTAACCTTTAAGCACAAAATTCGGCACGGTGGTTAGTATTACCATTCTTTTTTATGGTCTGCCTCTATTCTCTAATATGTCTAATTTTCTAATTTTTCAATTTATTTTATAGATAAACATAGTTCTCGAAAACCGCGATCGTTTAGCACAAGTTTGGCCTTTAGTGCGTGATCATTTGCAATGGCTACTTAGTCCTGATTTTGCCCAAAACAAGCAAATAACCGAAAGATCAATTATTGCATTAATTCGAATTGCTAATAGAAATCTTTTCCGTCTTGGTCATCCACAACAAAATGTAAAAATTCCGCCACTCCCACCACCACTACCTTCTGCGCCTCGGACGGCGCTGACTAAAAGTGTGGTTATTGTAGTGGAAGATGAACAAACACAACAAGAGAATGGTAGATTGTTTAATGAGATTAGATAATCATCCTTTTTAGGCTGATAGATATATTTTGATGTAGGATTTTTAAGCGGGTATAGGAATTTTTAAATGAATTTCAGGTAATGTAAGGGAAAAGGGAGATCCAGCTGACTATTATTTCAAACATTTACTGGGTGGAGGTTTAAGATTTATTAAAAGTGAGGTGTAGAGAAATTGCCTAATTTCTCTAATAATAAACAAAAAACACCTCTTTTTTTTCAATCAAATTTTATTCAGGTCACAAATATAAATTATATTAAGGCAAAAGTAGGAAAAGTTGCTAATGTAAAGCAAAAAGGAGAATTAATGTTTACGAAGAACATAAAAAAAGTGAAGTTCAGGAAGAAAGAACACAAACTAATTTTATAGGTTTAAGGCCAAACATTAAGTATGTTAGGAAAACAAAGAATGTATGGGAAAATTATATAGATTATGTTTTAGATAAAGGAGACAAAAATAAATTGAATTAAAAATAAAAGTTTAGTTAAAGAATTTTCGCGTTTCGCGACATTCCGGCCAGGGCATTCCTATCGGTAGTGTTGACGGCTGCAGCATGGGGCATCGTGGTTGTTACGGTTGACGTTGATCATATTCAAAGGCGTTGGAGGGTGACGCATTACAAAGTTTATACGGGAGAGCGGGATGGGTCCAATTCGTTGATGCACTGGCAGGTAGGGGTGGATGCGGACAGTCCAAGGTTGAGCATACATGTTCGGGTGAGTTGACATGCGGGAAAAAATTGAGGGGCGATTTGTAAAAGTTGGTTCGACATTTAAGTTTACCTGCACGGGAATATCCTTCGGGATGGTTTCAGCAATTTTCAAATTTGTTGGAGTTGGAATTAATGTCGTTGCCAGGGAAGTATGTTGTTGGAATCGGAATGCCGCGACCATTTCAACAGTTTCAGAAGGCAGGGAGGAGCAAATAACAGGTTGATTAATGGTGTTGTCAATAGGTAAAGTTGAAATTAGTCGAGGAATTTGTACAGTTCCGATTTGCCAGTCATTCATTAAGTTGTCCCAGGATTTAATTAAATTTGCAGGTAGTTTCTCGTCCCATGCGAGTTTTTCAGACCATAATTCATGCAGGAATAATTTCAAAGGTAAAATAACAGGACTAATGTAGCCGCAGGGATCATAGTGGGAAGCAATAAAAGAGAGAATGGTTCTTTTGGATAATTCGGTAGGAGGGGTATGGGTTTCCACAAATAAGTAATCGGTATCGGTTTGCCATCCAACACCAAGAAATTTCTGTTTGGGACCATTGAGTTTGTCGTCAAGGGGGATATGGTTAATAGTTTCGGGAATATTGGAAATAAATTCACGTAATTTCATATTGGCAGTTGCAAAAAGTTTAATTAAAGAGTCGCATTTTTCTTTGGCTTCTAGGACAGTTTCGGCTCCAAACAAAATGTTGTCCACGTAAATATTTGGTAGTATTTCTTCAGCTAATTTTGATGGATTTAGTCGTAAATGGTATAAAATAGTAGCTGCCAGTAAAAACGGGGAAGGAGAAAGTCCAAATGGTACTCGGGTAAATCGGTAAATTTGTAAATTTTCGAGGGATAACGGTTCATGGATATTCTTTAACCACAAAAATCGAATCGAGTCTCGATGGTTTGGATGTACTGAGACTTGTAGGAAGGCTTTTTGGATATCACACACAATTACTATTTTTGGAATTCGCATTCGGAGGAGAACACCTACAAGTTCCGGTAAAATTACAGGTCCAGGATGAAGGCAGTCATTGAGGGAAAATGAATTAGGAAGTTTTGCGGACCCATCATAAACAATGCGGACTTTTTTGGGAGTTATGACCGCATGGTGGGGTAGGTAATGTAACGGGGAATGGAAATTCTTGGGATTTTCCACAATTTCGATAATTCCCAGTTGGTGTTGCTCTTCAATAATTTTGTTGTATTTTTCCAATAAGTCGTTGTTTTTATTCAGTGAATTCAATGTAGAACGTAGTCTTCCCCAACATAATCCAAAATTTGAAGGAAGGGGTAAAGTTTTTGGGCAGGATTTAAATGGGAACATTACTTGGTATCGGCCATTGGTAAATTCGGTAGTTCGGTTAAATTCTTGTAGGACCGAGTCGTCAGTCTTGGTCGGGGAAGGGTCGGTAATGCCTATACTTTCGAGGGTGAAAAATTCATTAGGAGGTTCTGTGACTGTTGTTTGAGAAGAGAAGTTGGTAATCTGGAGGGAATTTGAGCACCCGAAAGGTTTTCCAGCAATTATAAGACCAAGAAGTGTCTGTATTAGGTGGTAGCCGGAGGGTAATCGGTATATTGGTGTGGGCTCTATTTCATAGTAAAAGTCACCTCCCAACAGGATGCTTGGAACAATATTCTGGTAATTTCGAACAAGATCCTTTTCATAGACAAGTTCATTAGAAAATGGTACGTATGGCGTGGGTTGTGTGAGGTGGTTCAATGTATTGGCTTTTATTATTAAGGAACGGCCATCTACCAATTTAAGACCGAAGGTGGTGGTATACGTAGGCAGAGCAGTTATGGAAGGGTTATTAAAGACCCCAAGGTTAATAGAGCTGGGAGATAGATTTAGATTCAAGGCATTGGCTACGGTAGTATGGATATAGGTATTGGTACTAGCGTCATCGAGAAGCACAATTCCTTCGTATTGACAGGAAGGGACGTCCGGATTGAAAATCATGGTTCGAACGCATTTTAACAAAATTGGTCGGTAATTGCTTGTAGGGTTAGTAGAAGAGTTTGTTTGTTGATTGGGTTCTAAGTTAGGTGGAGGAGGTGGATGGTAGTCATTAATTTTAGGGTAAGTTGCGGATTGAGAAAAATGGCAATCGGGCGTTGGCTTGGGCTGTTGGAAGTTTGGCAGTCTCGTGGGATGTTGGTATTGGCGAGGGTTTTCGTTGGACGTATTACGGTAGGTTTGAGGAGGTCGTTGGGGAGGCCTCGGGGTAAATGGTGCTTTTGGGGAGAATAGGTGAGAACAAAGGGCCCGCGGGTGAGGACCGCCACACGAGGAACATTTCGTGGGCATTCGGCATTGAGGGGTGGTGTGGCCTTCCTTCATACAACTAAAACACCGCCGCAATTCTTTGAGCTTATTTCGGCGGGAATATAGGTCGGGATATTGCTGGCAAGAAGGGGAGAAGTGGCCAAAAACGTTGCAAAATAAGCAGGGAAGCTTGGGTTCTACGGCATTCGATCGCCGGGTTGTTTGAGTATTAAAGGTGAGAGAGGATCGAGGGCCCGGGGGAGAGTCATTTCGAGGGGAATAAAATTTTTGAGAAGGAGAAACTTGCGGTTTTGGCGGAGAGCTGTAGTTCATTGCAGAGATGTCTTCTTTTCTTTTTAATATAGCCTTTAATTTTTGCTTTAAAAGTTCTGTTGTCCAGGCGGGATTATTTTCTTTCGCTCTATAAATTTCCTCTAATACGAAAGTCGGCAGTTTTGATTCGATTTCTAATTGAATATGAATGTTGTCTGTATTCTCTCCTTGCTGTGTAAATCGGCAGATTAGGCTTTCAAATTCATTAACTAGGGAAGACAAATCACGGCAAAAATTTTCGCCTTTTCTAACCGTTGGTAGTTGTTTTAGGGATTGGCATAATGAACGGGAAATCTCTGTAGGATTCTCATATTTCTGTTTTAGTAATTCAACGGCCTGAGGGTAAGATTGATCCACCAGAGGGAAGGATTCAATAACGGCTAAGGGAGCCGAACGGAGGCAGGATTTGAGATAGGAGAGTTTAACGGAGTCGGAAATATTCGGCAGGTCTCCGACGGCAGCCTGGAAGGAGGACCAAAAGGACGGGAATTCCACGCAATTCCCGGAAAATTGCGGTAAGGCCATTCTAGGGAGATGGGCCAAGGATGTAGAGGCAGTGGTAGCGGTAGGAGGAGGGCTATTGGAATTATTGCCGGGTAAAATTGCGGTTAGTTCATTCTTTTGAGCGGTCAAGGATCGGACGTATTTTTTCAGTTTGCCAATAAGAGAAGGGTACGGGCAGGTTTTCGTAAATTCCTCATAAACTTCATTGTCGTGGGTGCGTTCGGTACCAGTCATTTTTGCTCGAAGGTCCATCCATTGGTCATGAGTAGTAGAAAGGTCGGTGAGGTTATCGGAGGCCTCAGAAAGCGTAAAATCTAGTTCTCGGAGGTAAGAACGGATCTGGGTAAAGTAAATATGATCCGATTGTCCCTGGGTTCGGAGAGGGACGGGAAAGGTTTTATTCGCTTCCAAAATTCCGGTGATTTCCGGATATAGGCTTTTTATCTGAGTTCTGAACGGGAGAGACATTTTTCAGAGTTGAATAAATGAGAGTCAAATCAAAATTTGAAATGTCGGAATCAGTAAGAAAAAGTATAAATAAACAAACAGGAGAAAACAAGTAAGGAAATTCAAAAAATAGAATAAAAATACAAGTAGTCTAAAAAGTTCGTGATCTGGGTAAGACTGTAGAGAAATTGCCTAATTTCTCTAATAATAAACAAAAAACACCTCTTTTTTTTCAATCAAATTTTATTCAGGTCACAAATATAAATTATATTAAGGCAAAAGTAGGAAAAGTTGCTAATGTAAAGCAAAAAGGAGAATTAATGTTTACGAAGAACATAAAAAAAGTGAAGTTCAGGAAGAAAGAACACAAACTAATTTTATAGGTTTAAGGCCAAACATTAAGTATGTTAGGAAAACAAAGAATGTATGGGAAAATTATATAGATTATGTTTTAGATAAAGGAGACAAAAATAAATTGAATTAAAAATAAAAGTTTAGTTAAAGAATTTTCGCGTTTCGCGACAGAGGTGAGTGTTGAGCCCGCACTTACAGAAAGAACATAATTGAAAATAAGTAACCCAGCACGTGGCACAGTCGGTGTTCTTCGGTCTGGGCTCATTCCATGATGGTTCTATTCCATCTCCCATCCAAACAATTTTTCCACAGCATGCACGAACATATAGAAAGCTTTCTATAATAGAAAGGATCGCTCACTAGTTTAGTCAGTAGAGCACCTGTAAGTTTTAAGAGGAGGTGCCTGGCAATAACTGAGATTATATGTTTAATGACTGCTCTAGGCTAAACTTTTATCAACTTCCCCTAAACAACTCTTTATTTCCATTTATTTTATATAGCTTCTTCCCAAACTATTCAACACAAAACTAATTGCTGTGCTGATGATGTTCTTCAATTTATGGCCCGAAAAATTTTAGAATTAAGACCCTCTGATTTACTTTTATTTTCTCAACAAATTTCAAATGGTCTTCAACAATTATTAAGAGCAAATGCAGCAAATGTACATAGCGCTGAACATTGGGCAATGTTTTTCTCTATTTTGGAAGCTGTCGGGGCTGCTGCTTATCAAGACGATGATTTTGATTTGGTGGATGTAAATTAATTTTTTTCTAAAATTTTCTGGTCTAGAAATTCTAATATTTTCGTATTGACAGTTTTTCGTTAGAAACAGAGCTGTTTTGGAATTATAGTGAACAACACTATTTAGCACTATAATATGAAGTTTTATAAAGCTTACAGGCTTTTCTGAACAATAGTCTCTAAATTTTTTGGAAGTTGGGCTTTAATTTAGGTGCCTGAAAATTGCCCCTTTTAAACAATATAAATGTTTTTGGAATTAAAAACCCTTCTTTTTAACAAACACTCTTAATACTTTATTATTTAAATTAAGATTATTCACAGCCGGTTAATATTTCCTCGTGGCTGTTCATAAAGAGGAAAATAAGAGCATTTGAGCCATTATAGGGAAAAATTAACCGATTGTGAACTATGCTAATTTTAAATCAAAATATTTAGATTATCCATCCAGTATCTTCTTCTCCTCCAGCTCCTTTAACTTCTCCTCAACAACCTTTACAACAACTCCCACCTTCAGATAAAGAATTAAGTTATGCAAGTGGCTCTTCTCTATACAAACGTGGAACAATTGTATTAACCCCAAATTTATCCCGTCATGATTCTGCAGCATTCCTCAAAGTTGTCGAAACACTTGGATTTTTGGGGAGAGATGCTGCCCATATTACACCTGAAAATTTTGGATTATTTATTCATTGTTTAAGAATGATGGTAGAAGCTAGTATGGATGGGGGAAAGTTCGTTTTAAATTCTCCTCATGTAAGGAAGAGAAAGATCCAGCTAGCATTTAAAACGCTTACTAGGCGGGAGTTTAAGATTCATTAAAAGAGAAGGTGAAAGCAGCATTCCGGTAGCTCAGTTAACAGAGCATCTGTACGTGGCTACCGAAAGCGCTTAGCAATAACTTCCGGGGGGTCGCAGGATCGAAGCCTGGCCAGGATCAAACTTTTACCTCGCTCTTACTCATTATGTTGCGGCTTCCGGTAACCTGCCCAATCCTTTGTTCTGACGTTGACTTCTTATCAAGATTCTACGGGCGTAGCCAGTGGGTCGATTTCAAGGTGTAAAATTTTTTCCATTTTCATTGCCGCAAGTGAAAGTTTTAAGAATTTGGACGGTCATAGGCGAAAAATTGCACTTTTTTGATTCTCTCCTCAAATTTTTTCCTTTTCCCCATTTCGCGGGGGGGGGGGGGGCTTTAGCCCCTGAAGGCCTTTAGCTACGCCCTTATCTAAATTTTTCAAAATATTTTTAAATTTCAAGATACACAACACCTATCCAATCATTAAATATAACTTCGCCTACATCTCCAAATAAACAAGCCGGAAATTCCTCTTCAAATACATCTTCAAAACAATTTCACGTTCCCCATGAAAATTCTCAAAAACAACGCAAAACAAATGAAGATGCTAGTGGGGATTTAGCTGAATCAGAAGAGAAAATGAGTGATCAAGAAAAATTGGCTAATTGTTATGTGGATGCTTCTTTGCAAGTGAAAACTTTCTCAAACATTCTTTCCCAAATTTTGTTATATACCTAGGCCTTTGCAGCTTTATAGCGGTTTCACGCCCAAAATAGCGTTTCTTGGAACCGAAAAAGCATTAGATACCATACAAGTCGAATAATAATTTTCTAATAGAAGCACACCCTCCAATAGAAGCACACCCTACGGGAGGATCGAAAAATACAAGCACATGTGCTTCTATCAGAGAATTTACGGTATGCTTTTCGATAAGCATGTTGGTGTCACCTTTTGTTGATTGCTTCCCTAAATTAAGCAATTATAACCTTATTTTTTGTCCCTCATCCGAATTCCTTGCTTATTCTGACATTTTTTGGCCCCTTCTCGTATGTATTTCCCAAAATATTTAAAAATTAAAATTTTTTAAATCTTTTTCTTGTTTAAAGTTATTAAACATTTGTGCACAACTCCAAGCGAGAGCAGCAAACATTTACAAGGATTGGTCTGAAACAAATGAAATCATAAAGATTGATGAAACAGCTACAAAAACGACAGAATTATGGTCAAAATATTGGAGGCCATTGATGCAAGCAATTGCTAGAATGGCTTGTGATTGTAGACGATTAATAAGAAAACAGGCTTTGGAGGCTCTAGGGGTAATTATAGGGAGAAATTATTAAAGTGTAAATAGGTTCGGCACCGTTCATTATCGTTTGGCATTTTTCTTATACCTACCTAGTTAAGACATCACGTTATTTTTTCTTTTTAGACTGCATTTCGAGTACCTGCATTGGGTGAACTTATGATCCCTGCCGATTGGGAAGATTGCTTTGCTGAAGTTCTCTTCCCTTTGTTGAGTCGATTACTTACTGGGTATTTTTGTTTATTTCAAAAATAAATTATTGAACCTCTATATTACTTATAATTCCATATTTAATCCGGCTTTTTCTTATAACCTGGCCCTTCAAAAAATTTTTTAACGTTCAACGAGGTTGGAGAGTTTAATAAGGTTAAATATATCAATGACTGTTGGAAGCTTAATTAAATACACTAATTTGTAGGATAATAACCCTTAACCTTCGTCTGGGGTAGATGTCTGGGTGCAGGCCCGTAGCCAGGATTTTTTTCGGGGGGGGGGCCAAGGGGGGAAAAATTTTTTTGCGCCAAATTTTTGGCGCCGAAGGCGCCAAAAATTTTTATTTTCAGCGCCGCAGACGAAGATTTTAAGAATTTTACAAGGCCGTAGGCCAAAAAATCCACTTTTTCGGCGCCGCAGGCGCCAAAATTTTGATTTTCAGCGCCGCAGGCGAAAATTTTTTGAATTTTGGACCTCAAGAAGCCAGATTTCTTCCATTTTTAGCGCCGCAAGCGAAAATTTTGAAAATTTCGAAGGCCGTAGGCCAAAAAAATTCACTTTTTTTGCCCCAGCCCTTCCCCAAAATTTTCCCTTTTTCCCATTTCGGGGGGGGGGGGGAATTCCCCCCCCCCTACCCCCCCTGGCTACGGGCCTGTCTGGGTGGGATGTCTGGACTTAGATCAGACCTTAAAATAGTCGTTAGAAGACTCCGAAAAGTCATGTACGTTATATAGAGGTTTCCCTAAATTATATTATTTCTTTTACCATTTATTAAGTAGCCCACCAATTTCCCCTATGGATCCAATTGGAATGGAAGAGGCAAGAATTCGAGCGATTCAACTTGCTTGTAAAGTACTTTTGGGGAATCTTACAAAAATTACGAGGTGTTTTAAATAAATTATTTTTAATATTTTTTAAAAATAGTTTAAAATCATTTCCCGATTTGTTCCTACGCCTCTTTGATTTAATGGACCAATTTTTGGAAGAAAATGCTTGTAGTGATTTGCTTGCAGAAGTTATACAAGAATCTTTGAAAAATTGTTTGAAAAAAATTTTTTTAATTAAAAAAATTTTTAAATTTAAGGTATTCTAGTTTGTGAAAATTTTGGAGTTTTTCAAGGCCCAATTGAAGGATTAAAAGCTGAAGTAAGTGGGAGATTGGAAGCGTTAACTGTTAAACATTCAAATTCTGCTAATTCAAAAATTGCCTTATAAATGATGGGAAAAGTACTTTTTTATTTAAAGATTTTTTAGTTAAATTATTGGCTGTGATTTTTGATGTGATAATAAATATATTTTACGAACAATTGACACTCGATATTCTATGTTAGTGTTATCCACGGTACGGTATTACCGTAGTATTTTCCGATATTACCGTAGTATTGTTTTAGTTATTACCGATATCGTACCGGTCGATTTTGTAAACCCCGGGTTCTAAGCTTCTTGGCCTTCCAAAATTCTCAAAATTTTTAAGGCCGAGAAATCCCACTGGTGTGAGAATAAATATATCTGGGACCATTCCTTACTCTATCCCTCAAAATTTTTGAAAGCTATAGCCAATTTTTAAAAATTTCAGAAAAACGATTTTAACGTTCAGAAATTTCGAGGGATAGGGTAAGGAATTATGGGCGTAGGTCCCGAACATGAAAAAATGTTTTGGAACCATACCCCTAATTTTTTTATTGGACTCATAAAAGTTCATTAGACGCATAAACTAACCAGGCCAAATTTTTTTATTTGAATTGAAAGATTATAAAACTTTTAAAAATTGAATAAAATATTTAATAAATCATATTTTTTATTTAAATAAAAATTTTTAAAATTTTTAATATATATTTTTTATTTTCAATATATTTATTTTTAAATTAATTTAAAAAAAAGAAAATGGTTGGTGTTTCATTAAATGATAATGAGAATTTAAAGAAAAATGTACCTACAGCTGAAGATCAACAACAAATTAATAAATTTGCCCGTTTACACAAATCTTATTTGGAAAATAAAGTTTTGTGGATTTTTTTTAAATTAAAATTATTTTTTAAAGGGTCAATTAGCCTTTTTACAAAATACGGCACAAAATTTGACTGATGCTGAAAATGAAGTTATGCTTATGGAAGATGGACAATTAAATGTTCCGATACTTGTTGGGTCTATTTTTGTTCATCAAGATCAGGTAGAGTTTAAATTGAAGGATAGAAATTAGGGGTACAGCCCAAGTAGGCGCGCGGCCATAACGGCGCAAAGCCATAACTTCAAGATTTCCGAATCTTAACAAATTTAGTATTAAACGATTCCTCTCATCGAGCTAAAGAGATTGATACCAAAATTGATAAGGGCCAGAAATCTTCCAGCAAGTTATGGCTTTGCGCTTTATGGCTTATTGAGAAAAGTTTCAAAATTTAATTTTTGGCTGCAGTGGAAAATTAGATAAAAATTTTGAGCAAGAATGAATTTTGTAAATTGAATTTTATTGAGTGTATTATGAAAATAACATTTTTGTAAATTTTATTTATCACTACGATTAGGGTTGCCGTCCTGGCACGGTCCAAAAGTTTGAGTATGGCATCGAATTTTGGCCCTAAATAGACTCGGTCGGGTCGGCCTGATAAAAATGAGGCCCGAAAAAAATGACTAGAACATCGGCCCGACTCGAAAACGGCAACACTAATCACGAGCTTTATTAAAACAAATTAACCTTTTTATTAATTTAAAAATAGGATAAAATAAATTTAATGTTGGAAGAACGTAAAGAATATATTCAACAACAAATTGTTAGTTTGGGGGAGAAAATAATTTGTTTGGAAGCTGAAATGAAAGTAAACAAATAAATATTTTTATTTGTTAATAAAACAATTTTTTGAGGACCTCCGAGCAATTCTTTATGCAAAATTTGGTGATAATATTCAATTGGAAGATGAACAGAATAATGGGGAATAATTGAGAGATTAAATACGAAATTAATTGTTTTTATAAATTTGTTTTTAACATTAAATTTTGTTGAATCGAATTTGGCTTTTAAAATTGAATTATAAAAATGTTTATAATTTTGTTTAAAATTTTTGGTGCAGCGGTGGGTCGGGCCGAAAAATGGTTGATTTAGGATTATTTCCAAATTTTCTTCAGTTTTGTTGAGTAAATTGTTGAGTACTTACATACACTATGGTTTTACAATTTCCTCCGAATCTTTCAAAATTTTTTGTAATTTCTGCCTATGGCGAAAGGAAGAAATCCGACTTCTCTGGCCTAAAATTTGAAAATTTTCGCTTGGAGCGTTAAAAGGACAAGTCATACTCTGAATTAAGGAGTGGTTCTGAAAAGTTGTTTCAAAGATGCGTGTGATACGGATATTAAATAAATCAATATTAAATTAATTTTAAATTTAAATAAAATATTAAATTCATTTTTCTTATTTACAATTGTCGATTAGTCTCTCGATAGCTGTAATAGATTGAGGAGAGGAATAATTTAATTTAAATGTTGGCATTTGTCTAATGCTGTGTTGCGGCAAAAATAGCATTGGGAATGAAGTTACGCAATTTTGTTGCTATTAAACGCTTTAAATATCTTTTCTCTCGGCTATGTTAACAGGCCAAATAGTAGTGATGTGGAGAGGTAAGAAATACAAATGCATTTAATTTTTTGGGTTTTTTATTTAAGCTAATTACTTTACTTTACTAATTACTTTTACTTTTATCCATTTAGCTTTTATTTTTACTTTACCTGGCTTTTATCCATTTGGGTTTATTTCCATCCATTTTAAATAAAAAATTTAAATAGTACATATGTATAGTCATGGACATAAAGATATGAAGGAGCAAGAATAAGTGAAGTAGATATTACCTATTTTTTCAGACAGAAATAGGATATACCTATCATAGGAATTGAAAGTTATATCGGGGGATTAATTCAGATTTAAAGGGATATAGAAGATATCACAATTGATATTCCTTTTAATCCCCAAATATCAGTGGAAAAAAGTGGATTTAGGTTATATTTCTCGATTTTGAGAGGATATCGGAGGATTAAGGCGAATATCCGTCGATATAGGGATTAAGCTGGATATCGGCAGTTTTGGAGGAGAATTTATTTTCTTTCGTTCCTCACCTGAATCAATTCACACTCCATTTATCGGAGGATATCATGGATATCAATCCCTTTTATCCAACGAATCCATTTATAACACACGCCCTATTCAACATATGTATATCTCCTAAATCCTCATAAAAATTTCGGTTCGTTTTCGATTAACCGACGAATTTGATGAAACCGACAACCCATTGTGTGCCGACATAAAAATAAATTTCCAAATAAATTACAATAACAAACAATTTCCAAGGAAAAATAAATTCCAAAATAAAATTCCAAATACCTACATATTTGTTTTTGTTGTAATTTAAAATCAACTTCATAATTATCAAAATTCTTTCAGAAAATTTATTTTAATTATCTATTAATTTTTACAAATTTTTAAAATAATTAAATATAAAATGCGTTTTTTGGCATTTTTCTTGTTATTACATCTTTTATTACCCATGATTGGATGTATGGATAAACCTTCAAAGAAGGCTAGATTTTATTTTAAATTTGACTTTAATTATGTGGTCGGCCTATATTTGTGAATGGGTTCTAATGGACATCGCTCTCATTAAAAAGATAAGCTTTAACATTTAGCTTATTAGTTGATTTTTTACATTTTTGTGGATATGGGATTGAGAATTTTTTAGATTATTGGATTTTCTGAATTTTAACAAGTGCCGTCATCCATGATAGTGAATCGGGGAACTACAGCGACCCAATTCACAGAATTATTTATTTTATTTATTTTTTAACTTGATTTTTCTATGTTTTTTAGAAACATTCTCCTATCTGGAATCATTTCAATGATATCGGTAATAACAGAGTAGCATGCAGATACTGCCCCAGAAATGTTGTCCTTACCTCTATGTATGAACATCTTAGAAAGTTACATAAGGAAGTTTATGAAAAAAATGTTTGTTTTCATATATTTATTTATTATTGTTTAAAACAACTAATATCATTCAACAGCAGCCAAACACATAATTTTTATTTAAAAAACTCATTTTAGGTGGAAGAAATAATGAAAAATTTTACCCCAACAAAAGGAGACAAATTAAAATGTAATGATTGCAGACGTATGTTAAAAAATAGTTTAAGTGGATTAATAGAACATCTTTACTTAATACACAATAAGAACTTTTATAAATCTGAACAAATAAATGCAGAAATAAATTTACAAACTCAAGTATTTATTAAATAAATTTACAAAATTTTTTACAATACAGGGAAATACCAAAATATTCATAGAAAACGGGTTATTAAGCAGACATGGTCATGGATACGGATATGAATACAGATAATACCAAAATGCCTGCGGATATCCGCCTGTATCCGTCTGTATCCGCCGTAAATATCCGGATACGGATACCAAAATCTGTATCCGTGACCATGTCTGTTATTAAGTGCTTATCCAACATAAAGCATCATTCTTGAGCTTACCACATCAAGGCATAAGAAAACATGCATTTGCATGTTTTGTGAAATTAAAAATATCATCGGTTTTCATTTTAGTAAAAATTTTTAGGAGATTTTTAAAAATGATAGAAATTGATAAACTCAATTATTTCTAAGTCTGGTGAATTTGACATTGATTTCTTAAATAAATATAAAATTTTTGGGTATAATAACATTAAAGTTTATTTTCAAGTTTTGACATGATAATGAGTATTATTTCAGATGCAACAAGATGACGGAAGTATCATTGGCGAAGGAGGCAACCAAACAAATACACAAGAAATTCATCAAGTAATTTTGTATTCTAGCATTATTTGTCTTTAATTTCTTCTTTTTCTCCCATTTTTGGTTGGTTAAAAAGCCGATCAAAAAGTTCGTTGGAATTCGATTTGGACTAGATTTCAACTTTTCTGATATTATCTGGATTTTCCGTGTTAAAATCCAGAAATCCGGAAAACCTGAATAAACATTTAAAAATCAGGGTTTCGGGCACCGACTTATCTCTTATCAATATACGCTCATTTAAATTAATTTTTTCATAGTTAATTTGTGTAATTATGGGTTTATATCATGAATATTCCAAAAAATAATGAAATGATTAGTAATTCTATGTATATTGAGGAAATACCGATTAGTTATTTATTGATATATTCATCTATTTAAATTTTATTGAAACTTACATATATTAAAATTTAATTATAAATAGGAACATATGTCATTAGAGGAGATGTATAAGAAAATTTTTGGTGAAGATTACAATGATGGTATGCTTGTATAATTAATTAGATACAGGAATGGAAGTTGTATATCTAAATCCTCTAAAACTTATCACGATATTTTTCGACTTAAAAATATTTATTTTATCAGAAATACTAACAATAAGCATCTTTACTGCCAATTCTAAAATACATTAAAATAAACTATCAATCCTAATAGTAATGAAAAGAGTCATCGTCCCCTACGATGGGTTATTTTTATTATTTATTCAACCTAGTACCACCCAACCTATGATCAACCTAGTACCGCCCAAGTCTCTCTCTCTAATACAAATTAAATACTTATTTTAAAAAGATGTTGTGCCTGCATCACAGGGCTATGGGCATCATGATCAATATTTGTCCACTGGTAATAAAACAATTCACGAAAAATAAAAGTTTAAATTAACAGCTGAATATGAACAACAAACACAAAAGGCTATTGAAGAATCTGTTCGTCAAATACCTCGAGGAGGTCCAATAATACGAGGTATAAAAAATGAATAAATTTATGTAAATTAATTGAGAGTAATTTTAATTTATATTAGGTCGCGTCATAATTAGTGGCCGTTTTTTTCGATTAAATTTTTAGAGGTGTTATTTTACAAATATTCGTTTTTCTCATTAACTAGCATAAAGATATGAATCTGCTCTTCATTTTAATACCAGGTATAGCTTTATACGGGTGATATTCATAAAGTTATGATTTTTTGAACTTCACTACCTCGTAGTGAAATTCATAAGCATTTACACCAAAAATTATAAATTACCAAAAATGGACACAAGAAGCAAAAAATCTTAATGATCTAGTCAATGGGGTCTTAATGATCTAGTCAATTTCGACCTTTTTGAAAAATTTAGACTTTTCGGATTAAAAATTCTACTTTGTGCCCTCCTGATAGAGCCTTTGAAGAGCTTTCGAATGATATATTACACTAAATATTAACATCACATATACTCGAGAAAATTTGATTTTCGATGATTTCGAAAATTCTGACATTTTCGATCAGAACTCCCTGAATACCTACCCAAAAATTCTCAAATGCTGGGATCTCTTAGAAAATATACTAACAAATGATTCGAAATAAAAATAAAAAATACTTTCAAAAAACTTAATCTTAAAAACCCAAATTTAAAAACGGCCACTAATTATGAACCGACCTAATAATTTGTCTACATATCCATAAAATTTAGATCGAGGAGAACAATCTAAAAGGGGAAAAGAGAAAGTAATTGAAGTTTCTAGCGATTCTGATTGAAAATTATTAGGCTTTAAATGAAAGACGAATGATTTTATATGAGTTTAAATTTTTTAGGTATTTAACAAAAGGGTTAAAACAGAGATGGGCATGCATTCGGATTTGCTATCCGTATCTAAATATTTATATCCGTGTAATTTTTTAGGTGAAAGATTTTTAGTGAAAAAGATTGAATGAATCTTTTTCACTGAATTTTAAAGACCAATAAGCAGATTTCCTTCTTTTTCCATTAATCTTTCTTTTCATTAATCTTTCTTTTCAAAATTATTTAATTTTGGATGGCCGTAGGCAAAAAAAATTCAATATCTTAGGGTTGCAGCGAGAATTTTGAGATGGATATCTGGGGAGCATCCAGCAGCATTTAAAACGCTTAGCCGGGGGTTAAACGATC